CTCGTTGTTACATGAACTGTTTGTGGAAGAGGCACTGTGGAGTGATTCCAGTTCTTTGATCAACCACGCACGATTTGCATCATTACAAAGGGCCACTGAAATTACCATTTTTATAAGCCATCCAAGTATCGAACAACCAGGCTTGCCAGTCATGCTTTTTTGCGTTAAACTTGAAACAATCAGGCCGTTAACAGTATGAACGGTTGCCTCATTACAGCTTACCAAGTGCATTCATACTGGCAGTGTTTTGGTCTAAATTGCATGCATGGGGAAAATGCTCCAGCTGGGATGATAGCGTTGCATCACCGGGCCACGTGAAATCAAGGTCCAGCGTGTATGATTACAGTAAATTTTGTATGAAGGGAGATGAATAATTCCCGTTGATCGGTCGTTCATCGAAAAATGCAAATTCGACAATGAGCAGAATGCTGAAGAGAAGGATGAAGAAATGCGCGACATGCGCTTGTTTTTTGAGTTGCGATAAAATTTTGAGTATTTTTCATGGCTGTGTGGAAGGAATTTAGCTTCTAATCTCAGTTTTAAAGCTTTCAAATTCACAGAAAAAAAATTTTTTTTCACTTCAGATATTTTACATGCTTTCATGTCCAACAGCTAATCAGTGCAATGTTTACTTCTACAGTGAGAGGAGTGGCGAGGACAAAGTGAACGATAGATTCCTAATTTATAAACATATTTGATATAAATATAATTTATAAACATATCTATTTTGACCACTATTAGCTCGTTTCCAAGAAAAATTTGAAGGAGAAAGCTATAAGCAACTTTGCCAGTTAGCATTCGCTGCACGGAGAACACTTCCAACTGTCCGTGTCTCTCATAAAAGATTGAATACGAGCCGAGTTTCGATTTATTATGCATAGAAAGTGACATTTTTCATTTCTACGCATTTTCACTTTCTCCGATGTACAGAAATGCTGCACGGGATACGGTCTATGCTGAGATGAAAAAGTGAGCGGTGACTAGATGATGTGTAACAGATTAATATCACTGATCATCAGAGAAATACTGGAATTTCGCTTTAATGTGGGCGATACTGTCAAGGCAGTTTTGCAAAAAAAAAAAAAAAGCCGAGTTCTCCACAGAGCGAGGAAAAGCAACAGATCGGCGAAACTGATCATGAACCGTAAATAAGCAATGTTAAATCAGTATTGGGAAGGCCAGGCTTAGGAGGGAAGTTACTTCAATGTCCACATAAAAACAGACATGCGCAAATAGTAGAGTGGGGAAAATTCGCAGCTGAACCGATGGCGAGAGGGAAAAAACCGCTGAGAAAGCAACTGGAAGAGGAGTTAAAATGAAGCAGCGAAGAGGGGGAAGGCTCGTGCTCACTTCTACGCACAAAGTAAAGCATTCGTTAAAAAAAGCACAATTTCAAGACGGCAAACTTTTAAAAATCTGAAAGTGGAGCATCGGATGAACGAATACTCACAGACGTTGCGTTGCAATCCACACCTCATCTTCCCGCAAATGGCTTCCAGCTTCTCGAATAACTCATCCTGTAATTGGCACACTTCCAAAACAGTAAGCCAAATGACCGGGAGACAAGAAGCTTACCTTGTAGGGGTAGCAGATGCGACCAGTAACGGCCGAGTAGAGTGTATTGCAGTGGCAGCACATATTACCCGACAAGTGATAGCAGTCGTCGTGCATCCAGTGCTGAACCCCATACTCATTGCACACCCTCAACTCACCCTGCAATTCCAATACATTGGCAGCACACGTGGCAGGGTAGCTAAGAAATTCTCTCAGATCAACACCAAACGCAATCTGCCCTTGGGCATACCGAGGCCATATTGCCGTTAATGTTGGTTTGAAAAAAGAAAAAAATAAAAAAATTGTGAGCAAAATTTTGTCAATTTTATCAGACTAATCAACAGA